ATCTTCTCCCTGTATCAGAAAGATCTGGGTGTGTTTTCTTATTCTGGAAAACAGGCTGCTTCCTGTAAGGGGGTTATTACTTATGGGTAACGAGACATTCGGCTGATTTGATCAGCAGAGCAGTGCATAAGAAATTACTTTTCTAGCCAAGTATGCTGTTACAAATCTGAGCTTCTCTTTCAGTTCACTATTTTAGTTTTAATATGGACTAGGGTCTGCTGCTTTTCAGGAGATGTAATCATGTTAGAGGGTTTCAGTGGCCCCATATTGTTTCAGAAGTTCTAATGAAGTAAGATGCTTATGATCAAAGACAGTCTTATTAAATGCCATGTTTATGTCATTACTGATTAAACAGTTTATAAGCCAATTGGGAAACCACACCTGTCCTGGTACACAAACCTTTTAAATCAAGGCAACTGAGAACGGGAAAGTCCCACCCTTTCACCCTGTGCTTGAGCAAGGTGCGGTAGTAACCTTTGTCCATGAAAATTTAGGCAGGTGTGTTCTTTCCCATTTACTTGTAGACAGGACTGGGAAGTTTTGTATGGGATCTCTTTCCATATGTCACTGACAATGTGGTGCTTCCTTGGTGGTAGAAAAACCAAAGAACAGCCTCTGTTTTGACTGTAAGTCCAGCATGAAAATGCTAATATGACACATTAAACTGTTTGGGGAAAGTCCTCAGTAAGCAACTTTCAATGCACTGTTAGTGGAAAAACACTGCCAGGGAAACATCCTGTTCAAGTGCTGGAGAAATGATTACAGCATTGCTTATTTTTTACATTATTATTTTGGTTCAAAGTTTAAACTCTGAACGCTTCATGCTGTCTCCCTCACAATCCCAGTTCCAGTCCTAAAGTCAAGGGAACATACTCCATCCAAATTGCTTCCAGGCACATGAAATAAACAAAATGCTAGTAGTAACAGTAGTACTAACAGTAATAATACTACAAGTAGCGGTAACAGTAATAATGTACTTTCTTGTCCTTCAGCTGAAATAGTCTTAGAGATTACTTTAAGTCACAAATTCATTTTGGAGGTTTTCCTAGGTATTTTTTTTTCCCAGTTCCACCTGGGCAATCTGGCTTAACTACTTTCTCAGCTCAAATATTTTGGGTTTGTTTGTTTCTTCTCTTGAAGAGATTTTGAAAATCACAGCTGATTAATCAAGCTGATAGCTGAATTTAAAAATCTGCAACCTTTATTCAATCCTGATGGCAAATGAGAAAATGTAAATATAAATTATGTGTGATTAGTTAACATTTTTGTCCTCTTCTGCTTCACTCATTGCACAAAATGGAGAGCATTCCCTACAAACAGAATATGTCTCACACAACTTCAGTACTCTGAGAATTCCTGTCAGTATGAGCTCCCTTTCTGCTGAACAGAAGGAGTTAGGCCCTGCCTAGTAGGGGTTCAGTCTGTCCTTAGATCAGAGACAGTTGTGATGAGTTGTTTTCTTAAAGACCCTATATTTCTCTGCTGACTCAAAAGGGAACAGAGGAAACTTGTATACACCAGATGTCTCCTCTTCAGACAGCTAAAACTGAGATGCATCTCATCCTTGACAGAGTTCGCAATTTTTCAGTGCATGGCCTGATGACAAGTTTTCTGTAATGCTACTGAAATCCTCCAACAACCAAAGTGTCCATTTCCTCCAAGGGCTTTGGTTTGCAATGGAGTATCCAGCAGTGGAGGTTATCTCACCAGCTGTAGACCTTTACTAGGTGAGGTTTAGTGTGCAACTGGAGCATCCCAAGCTTTCTTTATGTCAAGGAAGAGAAACATAAGTTTTTGACATCTGTTTTAGTATGAAATTAATCTTTCCCTAGAAGCACCTGTGCCAAACTGTATGAGAGACTCTGTTATCATCCTGTCTAGAGAGCTGACATGTAGTCAGATGAACCCCATGTGAAGTGCTCTGTAACCAAAGAATCATAGCATGGTTTGGGTTGAAGGGGACCCCAAAGATCATCTAGTTCCAATCCCTCTGCTGTGGGCAGGGACACCTTTCACTAGACCAGGTTGCCCAAAGCCCCATTCTTCCTCTGAGCATAGTGGAGGCATTATCTAAATTTGACACAGAGTAAATTGATAGTGTGATTAAATCAGATCCTTTCACTGGTTTTGGGTGTGAACTCTGAGACATCTGAAGTCTTATCATTCAAATGGACCTACATGATATTTTTCAAAGAACAACCCTCACATGTAATTTAATGAAAAATACATAAAGGAATTTGAAATTTGCCTATCCATAGCCTGAATGAGGAAAATCCTATTATGATTTACTTGTGTGCTTTATCAATCTTGAATGTAAATGAGATTAATTTATGAGCGTGACTTATTTTCATTACAGCAAGTTCTGTTTGCAAAATAGTTTGCTTATGCTTTATAGTGTTATTTAGGCTTTTGAAACTGTATTTTGAGAGGAAATCTCAGGGGAAAAAAAAAAGAAGAGATGGATTGAATCTGACTCTTAACTCATTTCCACTGAAAAAACATGTTAATGTGCACGCCTTCGGAGTTGCTCATGATGTGAACATTTGCTTGAGTTGCCAGAGAAAATGGGAGCAACTTTGGGTCTGAGCTAATGATGGGAAGACTCAGCAAGATGTTCTTGTCTCACTGTATCTTGCTCTTGTGTATTTTTAGCAATAGGGATTCTCAAGCTCAGTGAGATGAGCAATACTTCACAGCTTGAGGCTTCTGGTGACCTGACATAATGATGTCACTTGGGCAGCATTTCAGGCTTCACCATCCACAGCTCATCTCCTGTGAATGGTTAACAATTTCCCTTCCCAGTCAGTGTGGTCTCTTTGTGCCAGCAACACTCAATTGCCTTCCTCACATTCCTGGGGTTGGGGCAGATGAGGAATATGTACTGCACAGTGGAATAAACTGTGGGATGGCTTATAGGGACAGGTCATACTGTGTTTTGTGATAGCCAGGAGGGAGCTTTCAAGTTCTAGTAGGGTCCATTTAGCATGATTTATAGCTGCAGTCTTGGCTGGTTGCAGTTTGTCAGAAAGGTGTATCACTGGAGTTGCTGCAGAGGTGATTATGAGGTGGAGCCATGAGGCCCTGGAGCATCCTAACTACTTTATTTGCCTTCCTGAATGTCCAGTAATAGATGAAAATAGAGTGGACAGGAGGGAAAAGCTGTTGACAGCCAGGAAAGTTACTGTAATACTAAAGGCCTCAACTTGGCACCAGGCAACCATTTCTCTCTTTGCAAACAATTAAGATTATATTTCCACAGAGAAAACTATTTCTTTAGAAAAAAGTCCAGAAAATGAAGAAAGCATTATATTTTATTTGCTGTCTGCTATCTTGATTAGCCTAGAGACTAGCCTATGCAGGGTTTTGCACCTATTTATTTATATTAATGTGAAGAATTATATAATTAGGTGGGTGCCTTTTCGTGTTCCAGCTGTTTTCAGCTTCTGCAGTGCCTTTTAGCCTGAAAGGCTCATGAGGGCAACTAAGAAATCCAAGACTCATCAGGCCTAAGTTCATCACACAAAAATATTTATCTACCCTAGAAAAGTTTCAAGAGCTCACCAACTGAACAAAGTTAAAAGAACAGCCATAGTTTAAAACCAATTTATCAAAATAAGTTACTCTTACCTCACCAGGTTTATGTGCTGGAATCACAAAGACAGGAGTTAATGTGTGTTATTGTTCATGTGTGAGGGGAAGACGAGTTTGGAATAGCCCAAATAAAAGAAAGTCATGTATTCTCTGTTTGGTTTCTCACAGCCTGCCTTTTACAGTGCCTTTGGTTCTGGGAGTGGCTGTTCATTTGGATTTGAACCCTGTGGAGCCAATTTGGAGCTAAAAGTAGCATGTTTGCATCCACACAGTACTGCACCTCCAGGAACTGGTTGCATTCCTGACCATGACACCATTGTATTCCCACTGTCCCCAGCAGTAGCAGCTGGGACTTCATGTCCCAAAACCATGGGTTAGTTGTGACTGGTATCATATTGATGTTGGAGCTGAGTAGACTCAATAGTGGGGTTTATGACTGAGCTAATAATATCTTGTTAGAACAAAGTCAGAAGCTTCAGACAAATATCTTCTGTCAAAATTAATAGCTCATAACAATGAGAGGTTGATTGGACTAAGTTATGTTAAAATGATATGAAAAACATATGTAGTCAAGTTTCTTGGGCAAGTGGTTTTTGATAAAGACACAAACCTATTAGAATGGATCCAGAAGAGATCCATAGAAATGATGAGAATGCTGGAACACCTCTGCTATGAAGAAGTTCTGAGTTGGGGATGCTTAAACTGGAGAAGTGAAGGCTTGTGGAGGACCTTCTCATGGCTTTTCCCTGTATGAAAGGGTCTTTTAAGAAAGAGAGAGATACCTTTTATCAAGGTCTGTATTTACACAACAAGGGACTACAGTTTTAAACTGAAAGAAGGTAGATTTAGATTGGAGAGAAAGAATTAAATTTTACGATGAAGGTGCAGAAGCACTGGTACATATTGCCCAGAGAAGCTGTGCATGCCCCATCCTTTGAAGTGTCCAAGGACAGGTTGGATGGGGCTTTAAGCAACCTGGTCTAGTGGAAGGTGTCCTGTTCATGGCAGGGATATTGGCATTAGATGATCTTTGAAGGTCCCTTCCCACCCAAAACATTTTGTGCTTCTATGATTCTACAATTAAGTGTTTCATTCTGCACCTGTGTGTTTTTCTACACGAGAGTTAATGAATTATACAGTATTTTCGGGATGTTGTGGCAATGCAAACATTAACTACTGATTTCTGGAGAACTCTGTCCAGGGCCTGTTACAGCTTGAGTTTATGCTTGGGTTTGCGTTTTAGACTAAGCAGATTAGACTATGTCAGAATTTTGTTATGGTTTTTCCCAACAAGAACAAGCCTGGTTTCTAAAGTGCTGTTTGTGGTCTAAGATAACAACCTAAATACAGTTGAAGGCATGTTCCACTGCCTGATCAATGTCTTGTATTTATACGTCTGTTATGGACAGGATTTGACCTGATGGATTCGTTCAGTGTGAAGCAGATTTTTGGAATGAAAGAAAACGGAATTCAGAGTGCTTATGTACGACTTGGAAGCTTTCCTGTTGTTCAGAAAACTGAGTGAGTAGCCTGTTTTTTTTCACTTGATCTTCATTTTAACCTCTGCTTTGCACTATTTGGTTCCTCTAGCTTACCCTTGTAGGAGTTATCTGATGCCTACACATATATTGCTGCTTTGGAGCCTCTGCACCAACTATAGTCTCCATCCTGGTAGAGTATGAGCTAGGTTTGATGTATCTCAATGATTCTGAGGAGCAATATCAAGAAATTCACTAAAGAACTTAGTGCTTAATAGCTTCTAAAAGGAATTTTTCTTGGTGCTCCCATTGGGATAGAAATTTGCTAAATACAAGAGGCCAGTTCCTGATAGATGTTGTTACCAGTTAGCTAATAGGGGTTTTGGCCTTGTAAAAGAATGAGCAATTTTTAATCCTGTGTCAATGTGGATTCAGTCCTCAGAGCCCCTTATGACCTAGGGCTGCCAGTTGTGTCATAGTCTATCACAACAGTTTCTTTTCAGGTTTTAACTTGAGCCCTGCTAACATTAGTCTTGAAAAGAGTGAGTGCATAATTTCACTGAGTAGCCATGAGCCATAGATAGTATTGTCATCATTAACACTTTTGCAGTAAATTTCTCTGTGCTGGTTTGAACTTTAGCTTAAAATATCAATAGTAATTCTTTGCCTTCTTATGGAGAAGGGCAGTTATTTTTTATTCTGTTTTTAGCTTTTTTTACTCATCTCACTGTATATTTCAATATAAGGCCTGGGACTTATATTTTCTTGATTTCATAATATTTTTTTCGTCCTGGAGTCAGCCTGGATTGATTTGTTCTTTTCCTCTCCTCCTCTTTCTCCATATAAACACACAGTTAAAAAAAAAAAAAAAGTAATAATATGATATACTGAAAGGAAAACTGTTTACTCCAAAGTCCATAAATGATATCAAGTCTAAGGGTAAGTAAACTCATGATCTGTGATCTGATTCTACTCAGCTAACTAAAGACATCTTGGTCTTAATATATACGTAACTGGTCTGTGTGTAGGTAGAAATAAACCTATTTCACTTGTCTCACAGCAATCTCTTGGTTCTGCGTGATACTATGACAAGTAGGACTAGTGCAATCGCTGGAGTATAAGCAGGAACTATCAAGTATGAGTTGATAATCTTCATATCAGGCAACTCAGTCACCACCACTGTGATGTGATGTCTAATCCTAGTTTCCATAATTCAGCAGATAGAAATGGGGAGAATGAAAGTTTGAAGAGCTGTGAAGCAAGTCTAACAGTGAGAAATTCAAGAAGTGCAGTACAGACAAGTAAAATGAAGAAGCGGTTAACAACTGAAGTGATTGTTCTCTGTAAGAACCTCTGGGAAATCAAAGTTTAGTAAAGGGTCTTTGGCTAAGGAGAGTGGTAGACTGAAAGTCCGTGGTTACTTGTTAATGGCATCAAAAAGCAGCAGGGAAGAAAGGCCTACTTTTCATTATGAATGTAATTAACAACTGAAAAAAGTTATCACAGATTACAGAGAGTCGTCCGTTTGAATTTCTTTTTCAAATTAAGGGTTGAAGCACTTTGTTGTTGTTTCTATTGTTGTTTTCCCAGAAAGACTGAGGGAGTGAAGCCAGACCAACCAGCTATGACAGCTTTCCGTCTGCTCAGATTACACCCTTTTATTTGTTGTTGCTGTTGTCTTTAAAACAAGTAGAATATTTTATTGCCCAGGACAATAAGAAGTAAAACATCCTTAATTAGTAGATTGAAATGACTAAGCTTCCTTTTGAATGATTCTGAAACATGGAATTAAAGAAAGACTTTTATGTTTTCGACCTTTTGTATTGCAACTTCCACACTCCTCTGGTTTGGGAACAAACCCAAATGGATATAACACCATGGAAGGTGTTTGCATATTTAGTTCCTTTTAGCCTTTGTATGCCAGGACTCTGAGACACTGAATATAGAGTCATTGCTCACAGAAAATAAAATCTTGTAAAGCTGCACAAAACCCATAACTGGAATAATAAACCAAACAAAAACATCTGTCCTATCTCGCAGATAACCTCAAGCAATGTTTAGCAACCAATAGCAACATCTCATAATTAGATACAAAATCATTAACTGAGTAATATATGTAATTCACTTTATTATCTGCTTAAAGGATTTGTATCCTTTTGTATAAGCAACAGTACTTTTACAAAGTGCCAGCTTAGCTGTCCGGGAAATGTGCCTACTCATCTTCCAATCTGTAACCTAAAACTATGAACTTCTTCCTCTTTGCGGTGAGGCATCATCTGTGAGCAGGCAAATACAACAGACAGGAGCTTGGATGCAGTCAATGACCTGATCACTGAGAGACAGGTCTCTGTAGCTGGCTGAGGGCCGGTCCTGAAATCTGGCTGGTGTTTCTCCCCACTCCTCGTGTAGCTGGGACTGTCCTACTGTTTGTTTACAGCTCCTCAGAGGATCTTCTGGCCAAAATCGTGCCCCAGATGTATGGTTTTGAGTGCTCAGGCTTGTTTCTCATTACTGTTGTCTTGTCTAATGCCAAGATTTTGTCTCACTGTCTTGTTCTGTGTCTCTGAGTCCTGACTCCAGGACCTTCCTCCTGACCATGTCCATCCCTCAGTTTTCTCTTGCTTGCTCTGGTTCCAGCCTGACTTGATCATGATCTCGGCTATCTTGGCTACCACTTCACAGAACTACCTGATTCTTGGTCAAGCTTCTAGTCATGATCTGTTTACTCTTTATATTGGTGCATTGTTGTCTTCCCTGGTTTCTGAGTCTTGGGTGTATACCTTGGTGTGTTTTTCTGGAGTTTCTATTTCCTGACATCAGCTTTGACTTCAGTCACCTGCCTTAGGTTTCTCCATGAGCCCTTGCCCTGGTCTCATCATCTGTCTCCTTCCCAGAGAAGAAATTGTCCAAAAAGCTACAGGAGCCTCCTACACTGAACAAGAAACCTGCTGAAAGCATCCTTGTTCCTTATTTCTTCCCAAACATATATTTCATATGAGGAACAGCAGAGACAACTCAGATTGTTCAGCCTAGAGGACAGAAAGCTCGGGGAGGGAGAATCTTATCCATGTGTTTAGATACCTGATAGAGAAGAAGCAAAGAAGATGGAGCCAGGATCTCCTTAGTCATATTCATTGACAGGCCGAGAAGGAATGGGAATAAATTAAATCCATGAATTCTAGACAGAAGAAAAACCTTCTTTAGCTTAGATGATCTCAAGAGGTCCCTCATTATCTCCTATTTATAACAAGGTAAAGGACATTAGGCATGACTGAGATGGAATGACTGAAGGCTTTTTTGGTCTTTTAGCGAGTAAAGGACTGAAGGGAGAGCTGAGAAACATAGAACAGATTGCAGCAAAGAGAGGAGAACAAATTGTTCACATGGCTCCTGTGGAAAAAAAAGTTGTTTTGGGAAAATTAAACTATAGCAAGTGAGATTTAGGATAGGTTTGGGGTTATTTGGTGTTTTGTTTTTTGTTTTTGGTTTTGGTTTTTTTCAGCATGCAGGACAGTGAAAGACAGGAAGAAATTACTTAGAGAGGTTGTATCTATTCCTTCACTGAGGTTTCTGAGGTAGAAGCCAGAAAGATGTCTGCCAAGGATGTATGGGTGAGGTTGATTGTGTTGTGAAAATCCTTCTCGCTATTAAAATTTTTTCTTTGTAGAAGTTGTGATTCGACTGACCTTGTAGTTGAGTTAATTTGACTTTTAGACTAACCTGCAGTATTGGGGGATTTTTTGTCTTGGAGTTTTACGAGGCCCTCTTCTGCAATCTATCCTGTTGTCAGAATTATAGACCAAGGAGCTGGCAAAGTGCTCCCTGTAGGTACCAAGCATCCAGCAAACCTCTGTGGTATGGATCACCAGTCCAAGTCAGCCTTGCGTGAAAGAAGAAAATAAAATATTTCTGGGGACAGCAATTCCTGCCCTTGGATCTCTAAGTAAAGCTGAACTTCTAGATGGAGATCACTTTTTAGTGAGGAAATAAGTGAAAACTCCTAAACAAAGTTTTTATTATATATGTAGCAATGCATCTCTGTAAAAGAAGTAGAGACCAACAGCTTCAGAAGAAACTTTTATTACATCTTCAGAGCAATGAGAGTGTCTTCAGATTTGCTTTTGGCATGAAACCTTTTTCTGTTTGGAACTTGCAACCAGTTCCTTGACCGCTTTAAAAATCAGTTGAGGGTGGCAAGTAATAGGTCATTATAGCTTTCTGTCGGTTTAAATCTACCTGATGGGCTGTTTGTCAGCCCTGTGTGATGAGGTGTGGCCAGACTCACAGGGATATTTAGGTACCTAACTCCCAGTTATTTCTGTAGGCACTAAGCATTAAGCATCTGAAAACCCTTCCTGAAATTAAGCTTGCATAATGGTATTCCTGTTCCCAACTCGGAGATGTCCAGAATCATAAAATCATTAAGGTTGGAAAAGACCTGTAAGATCATTGAGTACAACTGTTATCCTACACTGCCATTTTCACTGCTAAACCATGACCCCAAGTGCCATATCCACACTGTTTTTTGAGCATTTTCAGGGATGGTGAATCCACCACTTCCCTGGGCAGCCCGTTCCAACGCCTGACCACCTTTTTGGTAAATAATTTTTTTCTTAATGTCTAGTCTAAGGTGATCCTCTTTCCAGGTCCTACTTCCGTTCACCTCCAGATGCTGCTTCTGGCCCTTCCTGTAGATGGATATCACAGTTGTTAACCTCCCGTCAACTCAGACCTCCTTGGTAAAATAACCAGTACCAAAAAATAAGACAGCCTTGTCTACTTTCCTAAGGGAAGGATTTTGTAAAGGAGCTATGGGACTCTGGTTCAGTTTTCTTTGGGAAGAAGTTGGAATAGTTCAGAGAGTGCCTTTTTCCCCGGGAGGAAAAACCAACTTATACAGCAAAAACCACAGGAATGGATAAAGCCACAGTGTTCTGAATTTATAACTTGACTAAAAAGATAGGGAATTCAAAGCACAGATTAAAATATGATCTAGTATTTTGGCATTAGGAAAGATCAGCTCTCAACCTTTGCTGTAATTGCAAACCAGACTATTCTGGAAATTTTGAAGACTTTTTGCTTTTAACATAATTAAAGGCCTCTAGTTTTATGTGCCTTTGACTGTGCCAGTTTCTGCATAGTGATGGATTGTGTCACCTATTTGTTAAGAGAATCTGTCTTCATAGTTTGCTCTTCATTAATTGCTGCTGTTGTGTTTTGTTTTCTAATGAATGCTTGTGCCTGACTGCTCAGATATGCCAAAGCGAAGACATGATATTTAGGAAGGGTTTATTTAGGAATGATCAGAGAAGCAGGCTGGCTTGGGCATGAGGAACCATGTTGGGCATGAAGAACTGGGACTCTTCAGGCGAGAAAAGAGATGGCTTAGAGGCATTATAAACAAAGTCTGAAAAATCATGAATGCTGTAAAAAATAAAACAAGAAGAGGTTCATTGTGTTGTCCCTGATAAGATCTGAGTTAGGTCCTGAACAAACAGGAGGAGGCTCCTTATACAGAGGGTAGCAGAGTGTGATTCCTTGCCAAAGGATGTTGTGAATATCATAGGTTTACCTGAGTTCAAGGGGAAGATGAAGAAGTCCATATAAGATAAATCCACAGAAATTTATTAATATAGAAATTGGTTTTGTCTCTGAATTTGACTACCCGATCCCTAAAACTGGGGGTAGGAGAGAGATATGTTTGTTCTATTCATTCGTGTTCTTAGGCATCCAGTAATGGCTAGTGACAAAAAAAAAAAAAAAAAAAAAAAAAAAGGATGCTATATTAGTGATCCCTTCTGTCCACCCCTGCATCCCCATGTTATGGTATGTTTTTATGTTGGAGTAGAGTCAAACAGTGTTTGATTTGGTTGCGGTGTCATACCAAGTAAATTTCTGGCTAATGTATTTGCAATGTTTGATTTGAGAAGGTTCTCCTGTTCTCACAGGCCATCAGCCAAGGAACATCTTCTTGGAAAGACATCAGTTGTAGTGCCTGTTTTGGGGCAAATATTACAGTGTTTGTTGCTAGATGTTCCTGCCCATTCTCAGAAGTCACTGGTCTCCAGCACACCTGAAGAAGAACGGAATTATTTACAGATTGTATGAACAGAAGCAGCAAGTAAAAAACAACCTTTTTAACGTGATGGATACTCGACTGCAGATTTTCACTATTTCTTATCCAATTTGAGAGCTTCTCCATTGGAATTAAAAAGGGCTTCACAAGGACAGAATTGCCTGGAGGGCACAAGCTCATGTTTGTCTCTCTGCAGGCATCCAAATAAAGCAGATTTTGTAGGAACTACAATGATACTTTAGGGAACTATTACTGGGACACCGAGCGAGTTTTAGAAGTTCTGCTCTTCACTGCTGAGCCTGATACAATGTTCTCTTTCCCCTCCCCATGCCAGGGATGTATTTCCACAAGGTCTGCCTGATGAATATGCCTTTGTAACTACCTTCAAATTCCGGAAGGCTTCCAGGAAAGAAGACTGGTATATTTGGCAGATTATCGACAAGTACGGCATACCACAGGTAAGAGGCCCTTTTGCAGCCATTAGGAACAGCCTTCTTTCTCTATTTTTGTTGCCATGAACCAGTTTTCTTGCTTTAGCCTCCCACTCCTTTTTCCTTGCAGACTGATAAAAATCCCTTTACCTGTTTTTCACTGCATTCTGCTGAAAATTCTTTACCTTTAATTCAACCCTGGATGAAGGTTTGCATCGACCTTGGTTTTTATTAGTATGAAAATAAATATGTTAGTTTGAAAGAGGGACAAAAAATACCATCCTTGCTCTTGAAACTACTGTTGAGTTTTTAGTTGTTTTGTTCAGATAGTTCTGTTTAGGAAAATTATTTTACCTGTTTGGAAAACTATTGTCACACAGAGCAGTGAGTTATGTCAGGTTTTTGCACAGAGTTCTTCTAGATGTCATGCAAAGTTTTATGAGTTCCTGCTTTTGGTGTGGATATAACACTTATTATAACTCCATAACCCTAGGTCCTGGCTGCTGCATGATATGATATGTTTTTTCTTGAAGTACTCTCATGTTCTCAGAAGAAAAATGCCGTAAGAGTGTACTAAAGGGCTGTCTGCCCTTAGACAGCATGTTCTTAACAGCTTGCTAGAGTTTAGGTGTTTGAGTGTGCTTGAGGAGGGACTGGTTTGGATGGGCTGTATGTTTTTCTGATCAGCAACAAATATGGTGCAGCACCAAATCTGATGCTGATGGCATTACTCATGACTCTAAACTGGAGTGTCAGCATTGGGCTTACAAAGCTGTGTAATTCAGTGTTGTTGCTTTGGGACTGGTGTTCAAAACGATTTTGGGAACTCTCAGTGAAAGATAGGTGCAGTTGGAAGCATTAGCTAACTGGGTTTGAGACAATGGTAAAAAGTTTAGATGAAAATTTTTATTCATTTATTAAATGAATTGTGTTTTACTGTGTTACCTGCATTGTTATTTGCTGCAGAATGAGAATGCATGTATCATGCAGTATTTCTTGGAAGAAGTTGAAAACTTGAACTGTTTAGGTGTGAAGAGAAAAAAACACTCCATATTTCCAGTAATAATGTCAAAGTACCTTAAAATGTGGTGCCAGAAGTGCGTTAGAGCCTCATGAGCCCCGTTTCATGTAAAGTCAGTCCTGCTTTGGCCAGTCCATTGCACACCTGCACAGCTCACAGATGTAGACACTTCTGAGCCAATGCTGATTCGAGGTGGCATTCCCAGCCAGCACAGATCTCAGCTGCACGGAGAAGTTGGGTCAGATCTGGGGTCAGATCTGGGCTGCTTACATCACACACAGCTTGGTGCCAATGTGGTCCAAACTCCTTCCAGCTCTGCAGCTCGCAGACTCACCATTTGCTCCCCTGGCTCTGCCTGCTCCATTGCCTGCTGCTTGCTGGTAACTGCCTGACTTTGGTAAAAAAAGGAACCAATTTGTAAATGAACTAAAAGTATCATGTATTCAAAAGCCAATTTTTGCCTGCTCTGTAGCTCTTAAGACAGGGGATGGGGTGTAGCTGTAGTTTTCTGTTCAAAGCATCTGAAATAACATGTGGGCAGTGCTACAGCTCATCAGATTGGTTTCATACCAGGTGATGAAGCATTTGTCTGTGTCCCATGGGACAGCTGAGGACATGTGATGGGAGTAAAGAGCACAGAGACTGCTAGGAAGTAGTGGAGGAGTGCACAGGATAGAGGGATCCAAACCAGGTTCAACTTTGTCTCTCTGCCTTTGGGGAGATGCCCCTGATGTGCTACCACCCAACCACGCCCAAGCATTGCCTGGCTTTAGATGGTCATGGGTCTGCACCAAAGCCTGTGCAGCCACATTTTATTTACTAGCACAGGTGTGGGCTCCTTGTCCATATCTCTCACAAAACTCTGTCCAAGCTCTTTGCTTGGGCTTCTCACCACAGGCTGTACCATCCCTGGATTTGGTGGTGATGGAAAGCGGTCAGGAGGAAGGAGAAGACTTTGTACTTTCTTAGAAAAATCCATTCTGTTTCCATGCAGGTCTCGATCCGCCTGGATGGAGAGAACAAAGCTCTGGAGTACAACGCCGTGGGGCTCACCAAGGACGCCGTCAGGGTGGTCTTCAGAAACACACGAGTCAGTGACCTGTTCGACCGCAACTGGCACAAAATTGCCCTCAGCATCCAGTCGAAGGCTGTCTCGCTTTACATAGACTGCAAACTGGTGCAGGTGCTGCCTATTGAAGACAGGGAAAACATTGACATTCAAGGAAAGACTGTGATTGGCAAACGCTTGTATGACAGTGTCCCCATTGATGTGAGTATGGCTCTTCCAGATTAGAGCTGGGGTAATGTTCAGGATTGGGTTTGCAGCACATGAATGGGGTTTTGGGGATTATGTTGTAATTTACCCTTTTCCTGAGGCAGCATCGCTGAAATGTTACCAGTGTTACATAGCTAAGACAGGTTGGCACCTTATCATGCGCAGGACTTGCTGTCTTTTTATGTGAGACTGACAGTGTCTCCATAATAGGGATTAAAAATGAGAAATTTCATCTTTCTTCTGCAAGTGAAATAGCTTGGGTGCAGTATTGGAGAATTTCCAGAACTCTCAAGGAATTTCCTGATCATACAGAACGTGCTACAGTTAAAAGCAGAGAAAAAAATCACACACAAATATCATTGAACTGGGTACTGAACTCCATGTAAAGGCCTCTTATTGTCTGATCTTGGCATTATGAATGTTTCCACCCATGATAGGAAGAGATGGGAGGGGAAAGGAAGCTTGTTAACTCAGGAGAGTCATGGTACATTCTCAGTTCCTTGGATATCAAACGACTCTTTGTACAATTGAAGTGGAGACCTGCAGGATGGACCTGATTGTCCAGCAGCAGTGTTAACCTGGTATAATTTATGTGTGATCATTTGGTGTTTGAGACTTGTGTAATCCTTCTATCTGTGCAAAATGGATGGCACGTGCATATTAAATGTGCGTATTAAACATCATTTCTCATGTAGGGGTAAAATGTCAGAAGATGCCAGGCACAGCCGGGGAAAAACAAACCTTCTGTCTAGACAAAATTCTAGGAGGGACAGTGGTGTCCAGGATATGTCTTCTCAGGCAGAAATTTGGCTAGAACATGGGGATTAGCATGAATACCTTCACCAGAATTTTAATAGGTATATTCAGGGTCTCATTAGTTCAGCTCTCTCGGACCATGCTGAGATATTGGTCCATTATTGACAGGTACAGCTAGAGAGTGACTACAGGACCCATGGAATCACTCTGAAGTTAGCACCATCTGGATTTTGTTTGTATTTGCCTGCTCTGTTTGTATCCAAGCAAAAGGACATGCGGTCTTTAATAATTCAGTGTGTCTGAGACTGTTGCCTCGCTTTGTTTTCCAGTTTGATCTTCAGCGGATGGTTATTTACTGTGATTCCCGGCATGCTGAGCTGGAGACGTGCTGCGACATTCCCTCTGGACCGGTAAGCTCCTTTTTGTCATTTATTCATTTTCACATGAACACTCTTCACTGAAATCTCTTAACATAAATCAGGAAATGTATGGCAGTATGGGATTATAATTTTTTTAATGAGGGTGAATGAAACCTTACTGTGTAATTGGTAATGTAGTAGAGCCAGAGGAGGACCACTGCAGACGGGTGAGTATGAGAAATTTGAAGTTTCCAAGTTCCTCTTTCCTTGTCAAACTGTCAGGGGAAACAAAACCCTGAAGTGATGATGGAACAACAGAAATGCAGCGTGAAATATTCAGTGTGTTTCCCACTGGTTTTATTTGGGAACAGATAAAACCAGCACCAGTTGCTGCCTATTTTCCTGTGCCCAACTCTTACCAGAAACTTCCACCCTCCTTTCAACTCTTCTCCCCTCAATCTTGGTTAAAGAGATTCATTGTTCATTTTGCCACATTTTTCCCTATTGCTTGGATGAATGGCTTTTGTGGGATTTCATTCCTCCTGAGGACTCATTTGGCTGTGTGTTATACAGTAGTGCCTGTGGGGTTTCTCTAAAGAGCATGGCAGGGGAAACTTTCCAGCATCAAAGGCTTTGTCATGACCTTGGTGTTTGGGTGCAGTGCCAGGTCACGGTCCTGACGGAAGCACCTCCCCTGGAAGTGAGGCCCACTGTTGGCAGTGAGCAAGTTGGCCACCTCAAGACATTCAACTGCTCCTGTCTTGCTGGACAGAAGGTGAGTGTTGAGACAAGAATGTTTTATTTGGGGACGTCCATAGAAGCAATGGAAGTTTTCCCATGTATTTTCTCCTTACCTAGTTCAGTGATTTTGACCCTGCTGCTAGTCATGGTAGCAACATTGAAATAAAAGTAGTTATTTTTATCCAGGCCAGTTAGGTGCATCCTTCTTCAAAAAAAATAAACCAAACCAGATTCTGGAGGTAAATATAGCCACATTGAAAAAAAATCTCATAGCTTTTGAAGGTGGTATGCTTGCTTATGCTGGCTGTGACTAAGACCTCTGAGAAGCCTGTTCCACTGTCACTGCTCCTGAGGGCATGTCAGCTTTGTTCTCTTCTCTGCTTAAACCTAAAAACATTTTTGTTGTCCTCAGCAGTTGCAGGATCATGCCCCTTGCTTGGTTATATAATGAGAAGATCGGTCTGATTAATCATGTTTCTTTTTGTCTTAGGGGGAGAGGGGTCTAATTGGCCCTGAAGGTCCTAAAGGTCAAAAGGTCAGTAATATGTGTTAGTCCACTTGTTTAAGAAAATCAACAACAATGAAACAGTTTCATAGTAAGCTGAAGAGTTAAAGATTTTGAGAATTGAGAGTCGATTTAGCATATGACTAAGTTCAGACAGTTTTGGATGAGCCTGAGGCAGAGCAGGAGGCTCTGACTATCTTGTGTCTTTGTTCTACGCTTGCTTTTAGATGTTTCTGTTGCTGCTTTATGTCATTCTTAAAGTAAATGTCTTGCACAATGCTTCCCTGTAGCTTTTAAACTGGCTTTTTGCAAGTTACTGTTATTCTCTTACTAGGTCATGCACAGCTTCCATGGCAAGTCACCTGGAAAATGACGAGCTTCTTCTCTGCTGTGCCTTGCTCAGCAGTACTATATATCCATAAGTTGGGTAGCAGCCTTCCAGTCACACTCCACAAAATTTCCTGAAACTAACAGCAAAAGATTAGTCACAATCTGTTATCCTTATGAAGATTATCTGAGTCATGATGTTAAATATAGGCCATTTCCCTCAGCACTCCTTCCTAGATAGCAGGGTAGGAGAGTGGTTGTAATGTCTGCTTCAATTTTCACAGAGCAGCCTTTATATTACCCTGCATGTTCTGCAAGTTTCTTTCATATACACGTGTGCATTCAGCACAAACACATTTTCCTTCTGTGCTTGGTTACAAACAGAGCTGTGAGGCAATAGACTCTAAGGGAGTACAGGTACTGGAAGAAAACAGTTTCATACACTGATGAAGAGGTGAAAACTGGTGGTGGTGGTTCCCAGCTTTCCATCTGTGTGATGGAAAAGATTTTTGGGAACAAGTTGTATTCAAAACTTTTTGCATCTGAGTCACTTCTACAAATTCAGTCACTGAGTTTATATTTATTGTGTGAATAATTGAATTGCAGCTCACCAGAGTCACTCAGTTATTATGAAACACTGTGAGAGGGGAAAGGGGAAATCTCTGGGTCTTGGAAGGTCAGACATCCTCAAAAATGTATTGTGTTTTGGCAAAGCTCGGCTTGCTGTCTGCAGGGACAAGGTGTGGAGTAAGGAGATGCATTTTGGAGTATGTTTTCTGCTGCAATGAAAGAACATGGACTCATTAGTACTCAGATGTGCCTGACTGAATGTGCAGAAAACAACTCCTTGTGCTTCCACATATATAAATAGCAGTTTTCTATTTTAATCTGTGACAGCTTAAATAATGATGGGCTGTTTTGAAGAATAGCAGAGCCATGACTGTTGTGAGGAGGTTGCAGAAGGACAATAATGATAATAATAAAAGGGCCCTGCAGTAACTTCTCCTTGTCTGTCACCACTTTGACAAGGTCTGTACACCGGTCAGGGTGTCTGCCCTGTATAACATGGCACACTGCTGGGGTGCAGGAGGCACTAGTGGAATACAAAAGGGTGTTTGTATAAGCACAGCATCAGCAGATTTTCTGTTACAGACCCCAGAAGGGCTGGCCCACTCCTGTATGTGTGTGGCTGGAAAGATCTAGAGATGTGTGTGACTTTTCTCTGGCGGTAGTGATCTGAGACTTGTACATAGACAAGGCAGGACTGTGTCACAGTCTCAAGGGCCTGGGGATGATGCCATTTAAATCCAGGATCTGACCAATTTGGTACAAATGTGATATTTCAGACAAATGACTTGGCTTCTGTATCTGCTAAATAAGGCAATTAATAGATTTTGCACCTGACTTGCAAAGACATTGTGATTAAATAACATATACTTCCCTTGACAGGAGTTCTTACATCACTTTTTCCAAGGACCAGCTTGTCACAGTCCTTGCTCTGTGTTCAAGAATGAATTTTGCTCTCCTCACCTCTCTCTGCAGCATTACTGAGCTACCCAGGCTAAAATGCTGGCCGTGGGGAGGAAATTCAATGCTGTTTGCAAATCCCCAACATTACCACCTGATATTTATCAAAGAAAGACCAAGGGCCCACAAAAATATGAGTGGCTTCTGCATTACAGAGTTGTACATGTCCATAATATGTTTTAGGATCATTAAACTTGGCTCCTCATTTCTATGGTGCAAGGGGGTGTTTTAAAGTTTTGTTTTTGGGTAATGAAAAGGGTGTAAAGCTTTCTTAAAGCAACAAATAAAAAAGATTTCCATTTTCATTTGAATCCAAGAACAGGGGCTTCAAGAAACACTTAAAAAAAAATTAAAATAATAAGATCTCTACTATACTCTTAGGCTTGATTAAATAGGCAGTGAGCATAACATAAGAGAAGACTGAACACTGATTAAACAGAGAGATTGGAGTAAACAAATAAATAAGAAAAGAAATTATCAGGGAAATAATGGAGACAGAACAACATCAGACCTCTGAGCCAAAATTCCTAATTTTCTCTATAAACATCGTCACTACTAAGCATCTCTTGTTTGGGATGAGTTACAACGCTGAAATCTACCTCTAGATAACTGAGGCCCAAGGAATATTTAGGTAGGTTCTAAGTATTTCAGCATTATCCAAAAAAAACCTTTCACAGGCTGATATTAAGAAATGTCCTGTGAGAGACTATATATGGCCATGTAAGTAACCCAGCAAAGCAGCTGGTTCAGCTGTATCAGGAAAAAGGCCCACAGCTTGTGGTAGTCACCTGAGAAATTAGTCCCAGGAGATACCAACAGGGAGAGAAATCAGTGCTAAAAACCCCCTTTAGCCCAGTACAGTGATCTTTGGAGAGGCTTGCAAAGTCAAGAGGATTGTGAGGCTCCTTCTCTAAGCTGTGAGAGTTTTGGGATTTGGTTTGGTTTGGTTTGGTTTTGGTTTCCCTAGACCAGCAGTAGCTGGTGCGGTTTTTACTCTGTATTCAAAAAAAAAAAAAAAATAATGGTTATGTGTTTCTCTATGTTTTCTTTAAAAAAAGGTCATTTTGACAGTCTTTTAAGTAAAATGAATGTGGCTGCCATCTATTTGAGTTAAAAATGGAGAGACTTGTGTTCAGGCTCTGCTATCCTGAGCTCCTATAGCATATTCCTTCTTTTAGAGGAGGAGGTTTGGGCAGGCTTTTCTTACAATGTCATCTGTCCAGAGGAAATATTCAAAGTTTATAACCAGTGTGGGAAGATAATGAGTTTCCAATACTCTCTGAGTCTTCAAAGGCAGGACAAAATGGGAGAGCTCACAATTATTAAAAAAAGTGAGAAAAGTCCCTGGGAGATGAGCACCTCTGTCTCAATCACCCATGCTGCCAAACTGAGAGGAGACACAGTGATATGTCTTGGAAGGAGGTAAGATAAAGGAAGGTATTGGGAAAGAGTTAGGCATTGGCCAACGTGCCTGAAGCTGGGTCCTATTGGTAAATTTTAGAGGCTAATCACAGCCCAGTCTAATTTATTTTCCTTCCACGCTCCCTCTGCGTGCTGTGTTGTTTGCAGGCAGCCAGGATGGCTGGTTGGAGCACTAGGCTGATGGTCAACAGGCTTCTTCTCTCTTCCAGAGCTGTTATTATCCGAGTTTAAAAAAAAATCTGTTCTCTGTGAGATGTGTTTTTGTCCACATAGAAATGACAATGCTTACCTGCCCTTGAAAAGTTTGTGAAGTCCAGTGTATTAGACATCCTCTGACAGGATGTATTTTTTCTCCAGATTGGAAAGGTTTGGTACTTTTAGTGACTTAGAAGAGATGGCTTCCTAAAAACTTTTATGAATTTTACCACAGCCTTCCTAGTTGACCATGCCATTGCTATTCCATATATGCCACTTGCTCTGAGTTTGCTTTCTTTTGGCAAAAAACAGAACAAAAAGGTTAAAGAAAGAAACTTACCTGTGCTTTCAAAAGCTTTTAAGAAACTTTCCTCTGTTTTCTTCACCTGGGAAAAAGAAACCACGATCTTGACAAATGCTTCCAGTGTCTCATGTCTAGTTTTGAGATAGCAGAGCAGTACATGAAAATGATTTGCAGGTATTTCTCTGCACTTGCTGGTTTTGGCACCCCTTTTAATTCTGTATCTGAAGAACATTTATGAAATCATATATCCTTTTTGATTCTTTATCCTTTTCACCCCTATCCTTCTGAGGAGACAAATGGAGAAAAAGTTTTGCTTCATTTTTGATTGACCATTTTTCCCTTTTTCCTCCCCATGTATTTCCTTCCCCAGTTATAATTTTTCCACCCATCACAATTCGTATATTTTCAAATGTCTCTTTTCTACGTCCTCTTCCCTCTCTTCCATTGGAAAAAGCAGGGAGAGCAACTCTGTGACCGCTGCACACTTGTGCGAGGGAAGAGAGGAGTTATCTGATACTGAAAATTTAGCGTGAATGAAAACAAGGGGTTTGAATTTAAAAAGAAAAAAACCCAAATAAAATGTCAACAATATTTGCAGGTTTATCTTTTCCATATTTTAGGTGTGTACCCTCTAGGTCTTATGTAAACCACCTTTCCAAGTTCTTCCTGGCTTAATAGAAAATAAGCACTTTTGAAGAGAAAGATCTCTGCTTTGCCAGTGCACTCTGAAGGCTTCTACCAGTATTTTCACATGAAAAATAGAATAGAAAGTCCATCTGAAAACTTGTACACTGAAGTGACCATAAATGCAATGAGATACACCCAGTCCTCAGGGCAGGAGCTGAAATCTTGGCTATAGAGATTGGGGGGACCAAAAGTTTCCATAATCTCAGGCAAACCCTTGTTGCATCACTTTCCTTCTATGTTAAAAAAATGAATTAATTAACTCTGTGACAGTAAAACACTTTCTTTTTCAAGGGAGAAAGAGGCAGTCCAGGGTTTCCAGGACTCAGAGGAGAAAAAGGAGAGTCGGTAAGTAAGAAATATCTAATGGTTTTACTTAAGAAGATGAAAATACAAGTATTTGTTTGCTCCTTTGTGTTGAGAACTTGCTCACAATGTCATGTGACCTGATCAAATATGTTTCCCCTGCTGGACCTGAATCCCAAGGGGAAGCTGATCTTTCTGGAACGCACTGTCATCTCTTGGAGGGGGGAAAATGGAAGGGTTCATCCCTGAATACATCTGATAACTGACTTAGAATTGGCCTTCTAATTAAACGTGTAACTTGGATGTACTTGATTATAGCACAGATGCACGTCTGATGGGGACAGTGTGAAGCAACTGAACACAAAGAAGATGCAAATCTCGCTCGACTCTTACATTCAGATGACCAAGATACAGCTTTCCCCAGCTGCAATTAATGCAAATGGCAGACTGAGTTTTTAGGCAAGAAAATCTTTAACCCTGTGTAAATTTCATTCCAGTAAGGGTTGTTGGCATCTTTGATTTTGGAAATGTAATATCAGACTTTTCCATGAATAAAAAATAAGGTGTTTTCCTGGCTGCAGTAGGAGAATTGGGGATAGGTTTTCTAGTTTAATTTGTCACTGAATTATTATCAAGGAATTACGCCCAAAGAAAATTACTTTCCCTGTAGTAGCTGTCATGGGATTGTGTGCCTATACATACCTATAGAGATAGGTTTTGGATGCGTAACCAGGAAAACATGAAACATATATTTATAGTGTTTTTTATATCCTTGTTTTCAAATGTACCTTTTCCCCTCTTCTTTCATTTCCAGGGCAAAGCCTATGGCATAGGAGAAAAAGGAGAAAAGGTAAGATCTAATCTTTCATTGGTATAATCAAATGAGTTTCTTGCTGTTGCCTTTTGTAGCTCAGAGGTTTTTTTGGAGTACATAGGATGCAAAAGATATGATATAGTTGGATCTTCGTGGGGAACTTTTATGCTGTGTTATGCCTTCTGCAGACAAGCTCTTGAGTGTTCACTGCTTTTTTCCTTTTGTGTTCTTTGAGTTTCCTTTGTGCATTGGCCATGGAAAATGTTATCAAATTGAAATCATAATGTTTGCTTTGTGTAAGCAGCAGTGAGTTCATGGAGGATAATGCACTAAATAAATTGTCTGGAAGGAGAAAAAACAAAGGGAAAGTATAATTTTGAGTTTATTGAATTTTCAGCAGGATTAAATTTGGTTCATGAGGAGTCTGTCATAGCCTTTCTTTCAATTGGATTTTTTCATTAATAAACTGAAGAGTAAATATTAGACAGGACATGGTGATAAGACTTGAAGCAAAAGTTAAAACCGAGGATATGGAATAACCACTGAAACTTGCTGGGCTCTCTGTCTTGGAAAACTCTTTCAGTGGTGATCAACAATGGGAAACACGTAGCGTGACTGGATTAATTTCATTTACAGAAAAAAAAAGATGGTGGTTTCCAGGCAATTCTGGCTACAAACTTCCCACAAAAAATTAGTCTACATGCCTAGACTGCAGAGGAGAATTAGCTCTTTCTGTCTGTAGCTCTATATCACTTCTGATTGAGGATATTTTCTTCAGCATCAAAATGAAATTTCAAGTCGCGGGGAGTGTTGGAGAAAGATTGACAGGAGGGTCTAGGAGACAGATGGATTTATTAAGGAGGAAGTCATGGTTTGTATTGAAAGTGGGGTTAAGAATCTGTTGAGCTGTTTTCCATCAAATCTGTGGCTACTCGATTGCTCAGGGAATTTAAAATAATATAGACTTGTGATCTGAAAGGAAGAACGTTGCACCAGTGAGAACATGATGTTTATGACCATTACATCTTCTCATTTTTTCTTCCTGTGATTATGATGTATTGATTGTATACAGTGCTAATGCATCACGTGAAATTACAATCGAAATGAGGGTTGTTCGTGGCAGGAAATATTACTGAGCCGGGATAGAGACATGGGGGCTATAAAGAACACATTTCTGCATTCATCTTCCTGCAGTCCTCCCCCTGGAGCCACTATTTAGCCTCTGAGACTCAGGATTCAGCCTTTGGAAAGTAGCTCGTGTTTGGCAGGTGATGAGAGTCAGCAGTCTGATGGGAAACATGATGTTTACTATATGAGTTGGGCTGTAGTTGAAGCAAGTTTTTGTTTTCTTATGATTTGAACTCTGCAGAAAAGTGTTGGAAAATTTAATTCCATTTGTATTATTGCCATGCATAGGAAAATAGTTCTGCGAGTCTGGACTGGAGAGGGAAAATAGAGGAACCTCACAGTATGTGCAGAACTTCTTTGGCTGGAGCAACCAAACAATACTGACTGCCCAAACAAATGTGTAGGCTTGGAGGATCCTGACTTTATGGCCAGCTTGTGTTTATTTGGAAGTCCTGCCAGCCAAGGCAGCTTGTTCTCGTCTGTGGAGGAAGTTACTTGGTACCCAGTGTGTTTGTACCCAGTGTGCCCAGTAGCTGTGTCAGTGCTGTTGCTGGTAGAGAGCAAAGATCAGCTGTATTTTGCTGGTTTGATTAAAAAGGGAGTCTGGGGATATAGAATCACAAAATCATAGAACATCTCAAGTTGGAAGGAACCAATACAGATCATCTAGTTCAACTCCCTGCTCCTTGCAGGAGTACCTAATACTAATCCATATGACCAAGAGCACAATTCAGATGCTTCTTGAGCTCTGATAGGCTTGGTGCTGTGACCACTTTCCTGCAGAACCTGCTCCAGTGCCCAACCACCTTCTCCATGAAGAACCTTTTCCTAATGTCACATGTGAACTTCTGCTGTTGTGGGGATGGGCTTCATCCCATTCCCTTGTGGCCTGTCACTGGTCACCAGAGACAGGAGATCAGCACTTCTTCCTTGAGGAAGGTGCAGAGTGTGATGAGATCTCCTCTCAGCCTTCTCTTCTCCTGGCTGAACAAAGCAAGTGACCTGAGCCATGCCTCCTAATCCTTGGCCTTGAGGCCTTTCACCATCTCGGACCCTCCTCTGGACACCCTCCAAGAGCTTTATATCCTTCTCATATGGTGGTTCCCAAAATTGCACACAGCACTCAAGGTGAAGCCACACAGCATGGAGTAGAGTAGAACAATCACCTCCCTGGACGGTGCATCAGGCAGGAACACAGTTGGGCCTTTTGGCTGCCAGGACACACTGTTGACTCCTTTTCAACTTGCCATTAATCCAAAAACATGGATCTCTTTCTGTGAAGCTGGTCTCCAGCCATTCATCCCCCAATTTGTACATGTAACCAGAATTATTCCATCCCAGGTGGAGAATGCAGCACTTGCTTTTGCTGCATTTTACACAATTGGTGATTGCTCAGCTTTCTAGTCTGTCCAGATCCTCTGCAGGGACTCTCTGTCTTTGAGGGAGGCCACATCTTGTTTAGTGTCATCAGTAGACTTAATTAATGCATGTTTGATTCCTATATCCATATCATTTAAAAAACATTGAAGAGCTCTGGCCCTAGAATTGAGCCCTGGGGAACATCACTGGTGACTGGTCACCAGCCTGACGTAACCGCATTTCCTATAACCCTTTGATCCCAATTCATTAGGGAATTACTCACCCATCACATGATTTATTTATCCAGCTACTTGCTGAACATCTTGTCCAGGAGGATACTGTGAGAGACAGTGTCAAAAGCTTTGTTAAAATGCCAAACCAACCACATCTACTGTCTTCTCTTCATCAAGAGCTTGACCTTGTCATGAAAGGAAATTAAGCTGGTTAAGGAGGACTTGCTCCTGTGGACTTATGCTGGCTGTGACCAGTGACTGCAGTGCCTCCCAAGTGTTCTTCAGTAACTCCCAGAATACAGTTGTCCATAATTTTACCAGGCACTGAAGTGAGTCTGACAACTCTGTAATTACCAGGAGCTGCCTTCTCACTATTCTTGAAAACTGGGATAGCATTTGCCAGTTTCCAGTCAACTGGTACACCTCCAGACTTCCAAGACCTTGCTGCTGCACCAGGGCACTGGTGTTTGTCAGCTCTGGTGTGCATATGAGGGATCACTGTTGCATGCAGGGACATAGAGCCATGTCTCTGTCTTGGTGTCAGAAATGACTGTGGGAGGGAAGTGGCCAGACCCACAGGGAGCAGGGATGCAATGCCAGCTGCCATCTATGCTCCTGGAAAACAGTAGAAGAACCTCTGAAATGAAACTCTGTTTCATTTGCCTAATGTTCTGCAGTGGCTACATGAACATGAATTCTTGTTTTTCACTCTGGCTGTTACAGCCTTCATGTTTCCTTGATTTTGAAGGGTATTAGCCAGTGCTAGGAAGCTGGATCAGAGATGCTGGGCTTCTAACAATTGCTGTCTGTGTGATCATTGCTGTGCATGTACTGTAGGCTCCTTTAAAAGGACAAGGCTCACATCCTAAATGTTGGTAGAACAAAGTTATTTCACCTTGGAAAAGACTGAGATGACAAGACTAAAATCATCTCCTTATTATAGTCTTGCTCTCCAGCTGTGCCAGTGCCAAACACCTGTCAGACCATGTTGTAGCCAAGTACTCTGTGTAGGGCATTTATATGAAGTCTGAGGCATTTGTTAGAGGGAAAATCCTGTGTTTTCCAGGAGGAGAGTAGAGGCACTGGCTTTGTTTCTTCAGGACATTACCTTGGTTGTATCACTAAGTTAAAGCCAAAATGATGCTTGTATTAGAATATATAACATGCTGAGCACATCATTAGTGGTAAACCAAGAGAATAGCAGCTGCGGCTAAAAACCTAATTCATGTCGATGTGAGGACTTGTGTGACTTTTAAAACTAGGAAATTCACTGTAATGGTTCAAGCAGCAGCCTGGCATGTTCTGCCATGTCTAAATAACTCAGACACATGGAGGATGCTTTTTGTGTACAGAAACATGCATGTGCAGCCCAGTTATTGTTCAGGGATTTATAAAAAAAGAAAATACCATGATGCATCTACAGGTGCATATGTAAGCTGCTCTCAAGTGGATTTCCTGGATAGGTGAGATTCAGCCATCACCTTTTGTATTGTGTCTTAAATTTCCACTGTTAACTGTCATCTTTGAGCCCTTGCAGTGTTTAATCCCTTTGGCATTAGACATATTCTCTTATATTTTTGCTCTGTAAATCCCTGTCCTTTTACTGTGTGTTCATTCATTGTTTTGCAAATGCTTCTCTTGTTGAGTTGATTATTATACATGGGCAAATATCCAATTCTGTAACATTATCACCACGAAAAACAATGTTTTAGCTTTATTCCAGAGGTTATTCAAATGGATATTTGCTAAACCAGATGGCCTGCTCCTGCAAGGGTTATAACTCGATTCCTCAAACCTGTATTGACCCAAGGGGAATAGGGACAGGAGAGGAGTGAGGGCAGAAGCAGCAGCTGTAGAGCATTTCTGGGGATGACTCAAGCAAGACAGGGTTTCAGTGACTCGATCAAAGCCAGGGAGATCATGTCTGACAAGGGCGGTTCTGTAGAGCATGAGGTCTGCATTCCTGGGGCACAGCCATCCACATCACAAGCCAGCCTGCCCTTCTAATGCCTCCATGCAGAGTTTAACTTCGAGGCTTTAAAAAAACTTGTCTTGCAAAGTACAAAGTGTTATGCAATGGTGCTGAGCCACCCTTCCAGCATCCTAAAGCCCAACGGCAGGGAGAAGGCTCTGCAGGCAGGAAGGTGCTTGGAAAAGTGGTGACTTTGGGGAGGATATGATGAAAATCTGTCACACTTTGAGTGGTATGGAGATATCAGTAGGAAATTATTTTTCACTGTTTCTTCTGTTGTAAAACCAAAGGGGCAGCAAGTCAAACTAGCTGATGGCAAGTTTAATATGAACAAAATGAAGTTG